TCCATGACCAGTACTAACAATAGAGAGCCTCTGTATCCACCCGGACAGACCCCCAACACCAACAAGCCCCGATACCCGCTAGGGTAGATAACATAAGATAGTTGGTAGCACCTAGATAGCAACAAGGAATGAGAACCGCCGACTCCCGGAACATAGAAGAAACCCAAAACAAGATTGGTAATTTTTGACTAACGCACCTGCCGCAACCCACCGGTTAGAAACGCAAGCTGAAGCAGGGAGGATACACTTAAGAGCGACGAACCCAATTCAGGGAACCGCGAACAGGACCTCTAGCTGCAACCAAATACATAGCACACCAAGTAGCAACACTAACCAAAGTGATAACCTATTAAGGCAAAAGACGAGGCTCTGGAAGCGCACCAGCGAAAGCTTACCTATCAATAAAAGCCAGAACACATACACTAGACTTGGGAGAGCATGAGGCCGAGGGTCACAGGATTAGCAACACAAGAGCCCTATTAAACCGCAGGTGCTAGCCTAACGTGGGCGGGTATAATTATGTGTACCAACTGATGGGAATGTAATGTTGTTATCACAGATCCTTGTACGAACACAGTCGCTTAACCAGACTTATCGTTTTGTTCCAGACTGTCCTTTGTTACTTCTTTTGAATAAACCATTAAATAAAGATTGTCAAAAAAAATACATCAATCCAATTGCCCCCCAAAACAAGGACAGAAGGTGCATGTAGCAAGTGTGTTAAAAAAAGATAAGCTTAGAATCATGTCTGCAAATGCTCGCAGTTTAGGGAATAAGATCCATGAACTTGTGGCAATAATCGCAAATGATAATGTAGATTTAGTTGCTGTTACTGAGACATGGTAAAATAACTGGGATATAGCAATACTAGGGTACTCTTTATTAAGACAAGACAGTGAAGGCAAGGAAGAGGGAAGGGTGGCCCTGTATGTGAAGGATAGCATAAAACCTAGCTCAATAAAAGTTAGTGAGGTGAACATAGAGTTCGTTTCGGTTACGTTAGAATTTGGTAATCACACAGTAACTCGTATAGGTGTGATTTATAGGCCCCCAGAACAAACAGAGGAGTTAGATAATCTACTAGTTGAGGAAATAGCTAAAATGACAATGAAGGGGGAAATTATCATTATGGGTGACTTTAATCTTCCTGATGTGCACTGGAAAACCAAAATAGCTTCTTGTGCTCATTCCAAACTCCCTATCAAAATCAGACTGGATCAGTTTAAATAGAGTCCAAAAGAAATGGGATTATTTAAAAGTTACACTGCTGAAAGCAACAGAAAATTGCATTAGGCTTGTATCACACACTTTACTCTAAGGAGTTATTGTTTTTTGCACTTTAACCCCTTCAGACCGGAGGGCGTACTATTACGCCCTATTATAGGCGGCTCTAAACGCCACCGGGCGTAATAGTACGCCCTCCGGTCTTTCGGTACTTACCCCGTCGCCGGCGGTCCCACGCCGGCGATC